TAAAGAAAAGCAGACTTTTCTTGAAGAAAGCTTTAAAGAACAAAGCACTCTCAACCCAGTAAGTATATATACTATGATGTTTTCTCATTTCTTTTGTTGTGAACTATGATGTTGTGTCCATCACGACTTGGGTTCCAGATTAAACGGTCCAAGCCCGTATGTGTTATTTTGATTATTACTTGAAAGGCTAAAATCTCTTTATTCAAGATTCCACTGACTGTGTGTGTGACAATTTGTTTATATCAGTATACTTCTATTGAGGCTAATGTTTATTTTGGTCAACAGAGTAATTCATTATGATTTTTTGAGTTGGAAAATTTATTTAAAAATCATCTTTTCGAGTTCTTGTCTATAAGGGATGTATAGTTTTTTGAAATACTGTTGTGATTTTTGTTGCTTGTGTGCCACTTTCATTTTTCATTTTCCAATGTTTTATATTTTTCAATTTGTAATTTCTGGGGGGAATTATGCTGAATATCTCCTTTATTGCCTCTTTCCTATAATAAACGAACGTTATAAATCTTTTGAGAAGATTTCAGGAGGTATTTCTGTTCTATAGAGCTAAAACTATTAACCAACAAGAGAAATCAGAGTTTAAGCTGCAAACATTATGAGTTTGAACCAAGAATAAGAATGAGATGGTTTGGACATCTTCTTATTCTTTCCTTTGTTTGACATAGAAGAAATCTCAGACCTTGAGAGTCAATTAGTTTAGATTTAATGATCAATTTAGCGTATGATTTGTTTTTAGTAACTCTTCGGTAGTTAGCCTTCATTTCATCAAACGTACTAGATCACCATGAATTGGTAAAGAATGGTTTATGTCCTTAATTACAGCAGAGTCACTTGCATTGCTTACTTCTGCATTTGCAAGTTTTTGACCTTGTTCTCATGGCTTACTACAATGTAGAATTCACATTTTTTGGGGCCATCTTCTGTTTCTTTTAATGTAGGGACTAATCTTGGTTTTTCATTCTCTATTGTTCCATTTTGCTCTATCAATACTTGGTGCCAAATAGGTTTAATGGCAACAATTACTGTGTATCCCCAATGACGTAAAGTATGAAGAGCAGGCGCAAAATCAATGTCTCCTGAGATAAGTAAAATTGTCGCAGGCCTGCGATAATCCTGTGCAAATAGAAACATGTCAACCAAAATCGCTTTGTCGGCATCATCCTTCCTCGCATTCGGAATGTGTACATGATTCACACGTCTTGTGATAAGCCTCTGTTAGTTGCCTCGGAGAAGAGCTAAAATCTCCGTATGCTGATAACTTTTTCACCGGTCCATTAATTGCTGGATGAGCTCCTAAAGCCAGCTCAATGTTCCCAGCAACATCTTCCGGATGTACATTTTTTGGTTTGGGACAATTCTTAATGCCCCAAAAAATGGCTACTATATTGACAAAAATTTAAAAGTAATAAATAAAAACCAAATTTTATTTATTACAAAATATTATTTTATCAATATAGGATCTGTAGCTGTTCTTTGGGGTATTAGAACTGTTCCAAGCCAAGAAATGTACGTCCGGAAGATGTTGTTAGGAACATTGAGCTGGTTTTAGGAGCTCATCCGGCAATTAATGGATCGATTAAAAGGTTATCAGCATATAGAGATTTTAGCTCTTCTCCGATGCGACTAACAGAGGCCTATCACAGGACAGGTGTGAATCTTGTACACGTTCTGAATGGGAGGAAGGATGCTGCTGACAAGGCGATTTTGGTTGACATGTTTTTATTTGCACTGGATTATCGCAGGCCTGCAACAATTTTACTTATCTCAGGAGACATTGATTTTGCGCATGCTCTTCATACTTTACGTCATTAGGGATACACAATAATTGTTGTCAGTCCGTCTTGGGTGAAAGTCTCATCCACCATGAGGAACGCAGGCAACTACCTATGGAATTGGTCTAGTGTATGGGGAAAGGATTGTGCTCCAGGGCAAAATAGCAATACCGAAGAAAAGGCAACGTGTACAGTGGCTGAAAGAGAGCAAAATGACTTGAACCCGAATATGCCTTCGTCAGATCTAAATCATTTGAAGGGACAAGTCGTGAGGTTACTAGAATTGTCGAGAGGAAGTTTATTTCTAGCCAAACTTCCTCAAGCATACAAGAAATTGTTTGGGAGGTCTTTGTGTGTGTCTGACTATGGGGTATCAAAGATTTCGGGACTTCTAAGAAGGATGGACGATTTGGTGACGGTTGAGGGAGAAGGCACACATAGATTTTCTGTCTCTCTAAGTCAAGATCCAGAGCATGTGTCAAGGATATGCTGAAAAATGTCCAAGACAGACTAATAGTCGATGACGAGGTTCAGAAGAATCAGCATTTTTTTGATTTTTTGTTCAACTCAATCTTGAATGTCCAAGACAGACCAATAGTTGATGACAAGGTTCAGAAGAATCAGCATTTTTTTGATTTTTTTGTTCAACTCAATCTTGTATGTTCACCTTAAAAGAATCTACGCAACTTCATTATTGAGTGATTCGATCTCATCAACCAATAAGGAAAGATGTTTCTGTGAATTGACTTGCATGTATGCTATTGATTGATAAAATGGTCAGTTCTCCTTTTGTAAATTGGGTTGTTCTTATTTATAATTTCAGTTACTTGGCAATAGCTGGGCCTTTTCAAGGGGGTTTAGGAGTACTTGACCGGTTAAGAATGCTGATAGCATCAGCATCTTTAATTGAGGAATATGCTTGAAACAGGAGTGGACCGATGGACACTATTTGAGTATAGTGTAATGGTGCCTTCAAAAGGTGTCCTTCGGAATAAGGTACAAATAGAGTGGACTTGAGTAGATTTCCCTGGTCTGATTGATATTGATATAGGGTGAATTAGGGCAAAGTCGTTGCATCTCCATGACAAGATAGCTTCATCAGATTTTATGAAGTCGCTGCTGCACATTTGGAAATAAACCTTCCGACTTTCTTTATGTTGAGCAACAGACTCCTTTACATGCCAGCTTTAAATATTGTCTAGGAAATAGACAAGGCCACTAACTCTATAGACTCTTATTCAATCAGAATGATGTAACTCTTGAGGAAAATGCTGAGAACAAAATTGGATGTAACTCTTGAGGAAAATGCTGAGAACAAAATTGATATACCAATTAAGGCTTGTTGACGAAGTCAATTTGCTAAATTTAGAGATTGAAGAACTTTGAACTATCCCCGACACCTGTCTTTGTCCAATAATAATCCACAACTTATTCGACAAGATTATCCAATAGAATAGACAAAAATTTAATGTGTTGGTGTTCAAGTATTGTGTAATCCATCTTATTTGGATGGCAATTGCTACAACTACATAGCCTTTGTAAGTATTTGAGAATTCAATAGATATCTCGGATACTATTTATTCTTTGTTTGTTTGAACTTAGATTAATGTCTATCTCGGCATATAACAAAAAAACACGAATTCACTTTCAGATTTGGCTTACAAAATTAACCCATTTTTTAATTTAAATTGTGTGTCAAAGGCTTATTGACTTGATATATAATGAATTTGAGGATAGAAGCTTACAATTAAGCTGATCTCCTTTGCTAAGTGCTTGTCATTTTGTTGATCCTAATCTACTGAATTCTGATTGGCAGACACCAGCCCCAAATGTTTATGAGAGGTTTGATTTTTTTCTTGAGGCAAACCCTTCTGAAATAATCACCATTATTGGTTTCCATTGTCAAGGATGCCGAAAAATGGCCAAGATTGGCCAAGAGTCGATGACATGGTTCAAAAGAATCAGCATTTAGTAGTCTTCATTTCCAGAGCTTCCAATTAATCTTCTGACCACATTGCTATCAATGGAGAAACGGTGGAAAATCAATAAAACATTTTACACATAAAACCAAAACTTCTTTCTACTTTTTAACAACTCATTCAAAAAAATATTTTTTCAAAAAAATGGCCACCAAACAATGACTTGCCCCGTTAAAAGGTGATTCGCCAAAGTGTATGATAGAAAAATAATTAAACTCTATGGACTAGATTCTAACAAAATAAATTAAAATAAAACTTCATTTTTAAAATAAAGTGATTAAGATTAATGTT